GACCAATGACAATCCCAAGATCTTTCAGTTGGTTTTCTTGTGGGGCTCCACCACCCCATAACACCCCACCCTTACCAAATCAGACAAGCAGATATACATTCCCAAACTTTTCCTTAGCCTGACCCCATTTATGACTGCATTTCCTCAGCACGGTCCTTCACTCCCAACCCACAACCCCCCACCCCCACGACCCCATCTGCTGATGTTGCGACCCCATGTTGGATCGTGACCCAGTTTAGGAACTGCTGCCCTAGACCTTGCTAAGGTAGGCAAAGGCCAGATGACTAAAGCAGAAACTAGGGAGAAGGAGCACTGAGGGGTCTGCCACTGTGGACGGGGTGAGATGTTAGGGAAGGAAGGACTGAAAATTGGAAAAGCAGAACTGGATATGGGAAACAGGAGATGAACAGACCGGGAGGCTGGCTGCAGGCAGGGCACAATTCTTCCAAGAAGCAATGTCTGGGGTGACCCAGTTGGTCACTGGGTGGCAGCATGGGGTCAGGGATACCTCTCTGCTCCTTGGCACCATCTCAACAAGCAACCAGAGAGCAAGACCTCCAGTGCTGGTTTTACCATCACTAGTGCAAGTCTTGAGTCTACCTTGGGAGGCTGCTCTTGCTTCTCCCTCGCCTTCTCCTGGTGGGTGCTGGATTGATACTTCCTCCCTCCGCAAGGAGCTGGTGATGGCAGATTCCAGGTGCAAGTCTCTGCACCCTGGGATCACAAAGCATGAACGTTAATGCATCAACTCAGGCTTCATCCCATACACTTGCAGGAGCCCATTGACAACTGCAATGAAATGCTCATGAGGCCAGGGGCTCTGGAGCTACCTTTCAATTTCTAGCACCTTCCCCCTAAAACAGGGGTGGGCAATTATTTTGGGCAGAGGGCTGCTTAGTGAGTTTTGGCAAGCCATCGAGGGCTGCATGACAGGCAGCCCACGGCAGATAAATATTCATTTTCTAAATTTTTTAGGGGCCCTGCAGGCTGGATAGGATGGCTTGGTGGGCCACATCCGGTCCCCGGGCTGCATTTTGCCCACCCCTGCCCTAAAAGGTCACACACGGGTGACAACCCGTGCTGCAGGGAATGTGCTGGTGCACACTGTTTCTTGTCCTGGAGTGAGAAAGACCCCAGCTTCCCAGGTAGCAGTGCCCTCTGCTGGCCAATCCCAGTGCCTGATTTTGCAATTTGGCCTCCATCTGTGACATTTCTCACACCTTCCATGGCAGCATCAAGGCTCCAGGTAGAGGATGGAGCTCATTGGACTGCAGATAGAAAACAAACACGGGAGAAAGTTGTGCTGCAGTGGGGTGCACACCCTGCTGGGAAGCAGTCTGGGCTCACCAGGATCTCCTCCCAGCCACAGAGAATACACCTATAAGCAGCCAGTTGTAGAGTGTGGAAAAGCACTGGAAAGGGAACACTGTAGGAAATGCCACAGCCTGCAGCAGGCCTGACGATGCCAGGGTATCAATAATACCAGGCCTCTGTGCTCCCTGCTCCTTCCTGCACCTTAACTTGTACCAGGAGACGGTAGATTCGACCTTCAGAAACTCCCAGGGGTAAGGTGGTGTTTCCTGACTAGTGCTGGGCTCTTGAGACTTCCCTCAAAGTGCTAGTAGCAGGGGTCTCAGTTGCTACACCTGGGAGTCCTACCCCCTCATTGCTTCTGGCTGTTACCAGGAAATCACTTACCTTTACCTGTTATCCGGGACCCTCCAACTGATGTCAAAAAACAGCCAGTGCCAGTTGAGCACAGCTGCCTCAGTAGGTCACAGATGGACAAGCCAGGCTTTGGTTTGTTCATGTCCTGAATGAACCAGGCCTGTGGATCCCCTTGGAGAATGTGTGAAGCTAAGTGCCCATGTGGATCCCTGGAACGATGCATTGTTAGCAGTTTCTCTTGTTCAGAGGTAGAGCTGCTCCATCCATTGCTAGTGTATGTGTAGCTTGCTTTCAGCTTCTAGGAGAGTGAGTTCCAGTAATCAGATGCAGAGGAAATCAAGTGGGGACTAAAAAAGCTGGCTTTTCAGCCTAGAGGGTGGGCACAAAGTCAGGGCCAGTCCAAGGCAGTTATGACGTTATACAGATGTAGCTAGCTCTGGGCCTTCCACTTTCCCACAAGGTGTGTGGTACTCCTACAGTGGGATCCCAAGCAGGAGAATACTTGAACATGACAGCTTTTGACAGCAACGGAAGTGCTTGAGATGCTATCAGATAAAACACTGCATACAGCTTGAGAAACAGCTTCTGTATTAAGCCCTGTAAATACCATACCCCACTTCTGGGGACTTGTGAGCCCTACATTACTTTGCCCCATGTGTGCACAGACAACTAAATTCATGTCTCCTCCCCACTGCTTTTCTTTTTTTGGCCAAACAAAGTCAGTCTGTGTCATGCATGAAAACACTAAAAGCAGGTGTCGTGTGATTTGGGCATGAACCTTGCACAGGACTCTTTATGGAAGCACCACATGTTCCATGTGCCACTTTACCCTTCCCTTCCCCAGCACCAGCCCCTAACCTGGCACTAACCTTCAGGTGGGAAATTTCTTTCTCCTCCTGTTTTGCAATTAGACAACACCTTTGAAAAATGGCTTATGTTGGGTAAGGGCTTTGTATCATTGTAAAGTGCAGCGCTCCAGTGGGCCCTAAACAGTCAACAATGATCTCACACTGCCACAGTCTTTACATCTAAAAGAAAATAATTTTGGGGACCTTTCTGTCTTCTGGTTTCTGAGCTGTTAGGGGGCACTCCATTCAGCATGTCCAGGTTCCCTTTGCTATCACAAGGGCTGGGAACTTTCTTTTTTAAATGAAAGCTGCAGTTCACATGCAATTTCTTCATCCCAGCAACTGAGTCTCCAAAACAAAATTCCAAACGTGGGAATTGACAATAAAAGTGAGTAAGCAACACATTCAATGGGATGCTCTTAGAGGGGGAAGAAGTGTTTCAGAAGCAACTGAACTAGGTCAGATCAGGAGAAAGCTTTATTTGCAAAGAAAATATTGACAATTTACATAAACTTACATCCCAATTATATACATTATGTATATTTTATATACAGATAGTGTCTTGAATAAAGATGCTGATCCATAAAGCAGCATCAGTACATCACTGTGTAGCTCACACAAGAGAAAAGTGGGCTTTGAGTTGTTACATCTATGCCCACAACCCCACTACCATAATAGGAGCCCGAGCAGAGGCTCACTGGAAGCAATGATTTGTAAGACTTTTTCCAGGCTCTCTCAAAGCAGGAAATGACACATGCAGTCAACTTGTAGAAGTCAAATTTAAAAACGGATGCAACAACTAAATACACAGTTGCTTTTTATTGCAAACTCAGGCATGTAGAGTGAGAGAGCCATGAACAGGAAACACTTCTCAACCTGCCAAAATGATAAGGAAACAATCAGCAAAAAAAATGCTGCTCCATGAGCTCAACTCACAGTCACCAGGGTGCCTGGGGCTGCTCATTCAAACAGTCACTAATGCTTTCAGCTGGCCCTGTTCACTAGGAGTCCAAGACCCAGTATGAGGACACTTAGTACACCAGTACCCATTTCAAGCAGTGGGTGAGCCTTTGCATGCTTCAAACAAGTTTGAAAATAAGAAATTAAACACTCATTGCAGCATTTCTGCATTCCAGACAGCCTTGAAATATGCAGCTGAACACAGCAGGAAGCACAAATGTACATCTCCATCACCTCATGTAGCGCCCCCACACTCAGACTATTAGAACAGACATGGTCACTTCTCTTTGCTTGAGGAATCTACAGCAATGCTGCTGTGCTGGAGAGTAACAGAATACTGATCTGGTGCAGAAATCATTGGACCTTAAAAGCTAGGAGCAACAAGCAGCTTGGCACTAATTCTCTGCACCATCCCCTCACTTAGTACCAGTTCTGCTGTGACCAAATAGTTTGTCCCAAGAGGTACAAAGCTGGGGAGCACCAACCCTGTGGTGACTCTCATGGCTGCGAGAACACTGAACAATCTACCTCCGAGTATTCAGAATGTGTTTTTCTAAATACAAACCATGGCTCTCTGCCTCAGAGCATTTCTCATTCATGGTTCTGTTAGGACGGCCCAGGTCTGGTGGTGACCTGGTGCAGCTGTCAGACGGAGCAGGGAATTGGGCTCCTCAGTCCTATAAACAGGTGACACGCTTATATATGTAAGAAAGGCACATGGGAAAAGGAAGAGCAGCAGACCTGCAACTCTTGTGTAGGCAAAATCATCTACTGCAGACAGTTCTTTTCAAGATGGCAAGAATAGAGCAGCAGAATGTGTTTCCCCAGAGATTGTCTATACATAAGAATGGGGGGGGTTAAACTTGTGTAATGTACACCATCCGCTGATTGCTACATTTCTGCAACTGGGATCCAGCCAGAAATAAAATGGCAGAGCTAAGGCACATTAGCAAAAGCAGGAGTGCCACTGGAGGGAAAGAGCTGGGGCACAGAAAAGCAGCAGGAGCTGCATTTGCAAAACACAGGGTCTGACCATGGTCCCTGATGTGCAAAAAAAACTGTCCCTAAAATTTGTCCCTAACTCATGCCTGTCTAAAGCGAAAGGCATCACAGTGGAAGACTGGAGCAGGCCCCTGTTAGCTCTTGTATTGTGTCACAATCTTGCTGAGTGCCACCTCCAGCCCTTGGCTGCTATGATCTGGTCTCAAACTGGTTCTGTTCAACTCCAGGATAATTAAACAGGGCTCCTGAGATGGTGACACAGAGAGGCCACAAACAGAACCACCTCCACAGCTTTGTGAACTTACAGTAGTTTAGTTATCTTAATAATGCAGGTCCATACTTTATTAATAAAAATTTTGTTCCTGGAGAGAGGCCATTTGGTCTCGGTGTATAAAAAGGCTCTTTATGGTTCCATTCACTGTTGGCATAAGACAGTGAGAACAATGGAGTTATGCTCATTCTGCCAGTGATGGCTTTGGCAATTAGTGATGCAGACCCTGTGCTCCCCACCCTCCTGCACTGTGCATTCTGGAGCTCAGCTTATACTGGAATCAAATACAAAAATTTTTTTAAAAAAGGCACATTTTACAAGCTGAGCATCGGAGAGCAAGCTGGTGAGGGAGGCAGTATTCAGTTCCCTGCAGAGCCCTTCAATGCTGCTGTATATACAGGCCACAAGGGGCACAAGGCAGAGCTGTTAGGCACTGCTTCTGCATGGGTGGAGTAATCCTGCTCCTTGTCACATCATTCAAGTGGGAATTTAGGAGCCTGGAAGCATGGGAAACAGAAGATAAACTTACTCTTTGGGCTCTTCTAGATCATTGCATTCCTGGTACCTACTCGGGTCTTGCAGGGTAAGCAGACTGTCTTCTACAGTATTCTTGTCAAGGAGATGCTTAATGGAGATTACTGTTCTCATCTCACACAGAGTTCCTGAATTCACCATTCTTAGAGGAGAGCACCTCAAATTCATTTTGAGGGAAACAGACTTCTGAAGACTAGTTAAATGCCCAGCTGCTTGTGGTAGCCCAATGTATCAAGACTGGAAAGAAGGAAGAAAGGAATAGCAGGCAATTTCCCAAACTGTTATGGCAAAACTATGTTCTCCTCTGAGTAGTGAGGTTTGAAATCAAAGCCTGAAAGGCCCAGGAAACGCTTATCTCACAACAACTACAGTTGCTGGCAGGTGCTACAATGCTTAGAAGATGAGATCCCTGACTACAAACGGAGAAAGGCAGTGAGGCCAAGGATGCTATTTGTGCAACATTAGCTGGCCAATCCCACTGCTGTCTTGGTGTTACTGACAGAGGTTCATTTTTAAAATCCAACAGGTTATCATTAAGTTGTTCATGCTGACAGACAAGAAGGTTAGTACCAAGCTGTCTGTTAAGAATTTGCTTCTGCAATTCAGGAATTATTTTTGTATGTTGGCTAATACCCTATTCTTCTCCCAGTCACCTTTATGTTTGGGAAATGTGTTCTGTACATAGGTAGCCAGTTTTTAAAAAATGGTGCACAATGCAGAGAAGTAACTGAAGTTTGAGCCCCTTCCCTACCTCAAATGCACCTTATGGCTTTCTCTCTCATCAGTCAAAAGGAGGTGGTGGGAAAGCATTACTTAGGAAGCCTAAAGAAGCTATGGTGTCCTAATTTTCCCATTAAGGCCAAAGAGTCACGTTAGGACCAGACTCAGTATTGGTGGGCATGTGCATTGGACCAGAGTCTTCAGTACAGATTTTGGTGGAGATTATTTCATCACCACTTACTGTAATGTCTTCAAGGTAGAGGGCTGGAAAACCAGAAATGAAAGATTCTTCTAATGTACAGAATGAGAAAAAACAACCAAAAACCAGCACATAATTGCTATTAACTCAGAAATTATTAGCCTGCTTCCTTGAATATTCTTTTTTAAAAGTACCCATTTCAGTGAGCAGCTTCTAAGTGTTTATGTGGGCATCTGTGCCAGCAGCATGCAGCACTGTGAAGCCTCTGTAAATATTTCTTGGTATGCAGCAGGTTAGTACAAGCTGATGTTACAACAGCAACACTTCAAGGAAGTACACAGTAGGGCAACTTATACCTGTGGGCACATGGCAGGACTGGCAAGTAGCAGTGGCACTGGAACCTGTCACTGTCAGGAACATCTCAACACTGGGCTTGCAATATGCAGAGGCAGTCATGACAGCAGTCTGCTCTCTTATTAATTATTGGTGCTCCTTTCACCCTTATTGCATTTGCAGCCTGCTTCCAAGCCCTGTATAGAGGCACTTCACCTACTTATTCTCACAGTCCAAAGGATGAATGTAAACACCACCCAGTTGATCTCATTCTCCACCTTTCACATTACATTACCATTGCAATTAGAACTGTCTGACATAGGTGGAAAAGCAGAAACCACAAGGGTTTCTTGCTCACATACATGTGCAGAAGCAGCAGTGTACGAGTGTCTGGACAGAAAAATCCATCAGAAGTCTGTCTCTCCTGCTGCTCTTGCCATGGATGTTCTTGCTAGTGCAACATAAAAGCAGGAAACCCATATCATTCTCACCAGAAGTCTCAGGGGAGGACCACAGAGAAGAGCATCAGTGCAGTAATGCTTGAAACACTGAGACAAAAAAGGACAGGGCCACCTTTCTTTCTCATAATGGCTTTCAACTGCCTTTCCAGTCCAAGTCTCCAGGCAACGCAAAGGAAACCTTGCTCTTTTTGCATTCACATAAAGGAATAAATAGCTCTGGGTCAGTTTTCTTTGTGGCTGGATTATAGACCCCCCTGAAATACTGAAACACCTATGAACAGCAGCACCATGCAGTTCTGGGAGTCTCCTTGTACATGCCAGGTTCACCTAGGATGTTGGTGCATCTCCTAGGCGTATGGCCCCGAAGAACGTTGTGTGCTTGCTCATGTTGATGGAGATGTCAGCATGGACCATTTTCACTGCAATCTTCTGCCTGGCTTTGAGGAGACAGACCCCGGCTGTGTAACAGGTATTGAAGTTGGTTTTGCCAGTCTCAATACTCCTAGTGCACTGCAGGAAGGGCTTCTCATCTACCACCACCTCATAGCTGGCAAAATCAGTGAAGTTTATGTAGTATACCTAATGTGAAGCAGGGAAAAGAAACCATATTAGGGAGTGGGCAAGGACACGTATGTACATCTGAAGCCTTCTCTGTAAGTCCACTAATGCATGTGAACCTTTGCTAACCCAAACATCTCATGAGGTTCACTTCCAAAGTTCCTCCATACCTACTTCTGCAGTAAGATGGCTTACTCTGAGCCAACAGAACATGCAGGGTATTTGGATAAACCTGGCATGGAACAAGCTAGGATGAACAAGCATGGAAATACCCGTGAACAACTACATCCACCGAGGCTTGACAGGTAAATGACAGGGGAAAATGAACTTAAAGTACCTGCATTAAATCAAAACAGAGATATGAATAGACTTGACTCAGGTACTGAAATCCCTCTAGAGATTCTCTTACTGACTTGGGACATTAAACAGTTTTTGACAGGGTTTTATGCATTTTTTCCCTACAAAGGCTGTTCCACACCCTTTAACATACTGATTCTAAAGAACTTCAAGCTGCAGTGTAGAAGCCTGTATATGCAGTGGTTACTCTTAGAGGTTATCCTTCCTGATGAGGAGAAGCTGGTGATTCTGAAGGCAATGGCTATTTGCTAATTCCTTAACTCCATACATGCCCACCATAGTGTGATATTTTGCCTGAATTAGGCACTGCAGAAGGGGAGCTGATTTCATTGCACAAAGGGTATCCTCACCCTTACTGCTAGGATATCACTCCAAATTCCAATTGGGTTTTACTTTTCCTTTACAGATTGCACAGGACAAAGCCTCTGGAGGTGAAGTGCTGTGGTCAGCAACTCTAGTTCATATAGCAATGCCTTTCTTGTTGAGCACCAACTTGTATATCACTATGGAAGAGCCTCCGAATGACTTATTGATGTCTAAAGTTTATGCTGCCTGTTAGCAGTTCCACTAGGATATGACATGATCCTAGTGGAACTGCTAACAACAGACAGATGAGCCTTCACCAGAAGTAATCCAGAAGAGGTTTAACTGCAATAGTTCCATGTGGCCAGCTGTGGCATCACTAAAATTTGACCCAGAACTTACACAGATTTTCTTGCCAGAGGTGAATGCAGTGGGCTGAGATGGATTTAGCAGCTCTCCAGCTGCCTTGTTTCTTCTGTAGGTTATAAACCCTGGACACAGATTATCAGGAAACTGTGACAGCAGGATTAAATGGCAATCTGTCTTCTGAGTAACATTTGGTTGAAGGGGGAGATGTCCCAATTAACTATGTTAAGAAGCACAGTGTATAATTTTCTTGCATAGCACTTTTCATGTTGATGAACTGTACTCACACATTTCACCTATCTCTGGAGTCAATGTAAGTAGGTGGTTAGCAGAGATGGCCTTTCTAGACATTGATCCTTGGAAGTGCATTGTATAAATTTGATTCTACTGGGGAACCGGGAAGATGGACTGGATTGACCTCAGCTGGAATCTGGCTAGGACACCCAGGCAAAATCCTGAGTTTCTGAAGAATGGTGCTGGTTCTTAATGATTCCAAGTCAGGGCTTTGGTTTTATATCTGTTTTATAAGACAGCAGACTAACAGCCAGCTTCCTGCTGAGACTATTGTTCACTACTAATGTGGAACAAGGGTTACATTTGCTAGTAATTATACAGAAGGGAATGAAAAAAAGGCATTTGTAGAATATGGATGCATGTTCAGCAACTAATCTCTGCCAGCTAGCATTATAGTGGATTGTCTGAACTTCTGCTTTCAAAAATATACCATCTTCCTCCCTCACTCTTCCCAGAATATGAAATTCTTAAGAAGATACACGAGGTTCTGGGAAATTGCTGGTTGTGGTTCATGCAAAACTTGCATTTATAATACAAGAATAGGAGTTAGGCCCAGGACCGTACTCACTTCTACCTGACTATAGATGAAGTATGTGCCGTCCACCAGTACTTCCAGCTCCCCGCTGCGGGCATGCAGCTTAAACACCTTGGGGTTCATAGTGATGCGTGACCAGTCATTAAGGACTCCACCTGAAAGATCTCAGTATGAGAAAACGGCAGTCACTCAGTACTCGTCAGAATGAAAAGCATGGTAGCAACAGAAAAACAATGGCATTGATCTATTACATATGACATACAGAGGAAAGAGGATTAAAGGTGCTAAGTCAAGCACTCACATTAGGAATTGCCATAACTAATACAACCATGGGAAGATCCAGGATCCAGTAAAGTGGGGTGCAGCTCACCGTCCCTCAGACCATGAGGGGTTGGGGGTGAGGTGTGGCTGGAGCTCCTGGGCTGGCAGGTAACAGCAGAGAGCTAGGCATGAGCAGGCACTTGAAGGGGGAGGGGTGAGTCCTTCCCTTGCCAACACCACTGCTGCTGTCCCCAGCTGATCCAGGGGCATGAGGACAGGGGGCACAGAGCCCAGAGCCACTCCTGCCCTACCCTAGCCAGGGGCTGTGGGGAATGGCTACACAGAAGCAGTGTGCAGTTTCCTTCTTCCAGCCCCTGCCTGCCCTCCCCACCCTCACAGGTGTCCCCTGGCAGGGAGCAGGCACTGGAAGGAGGAACCTGTGCACCATCACTGCTGTCCCCTGCCAAGCCTGGCACACCACACACCTGCAGCCTGCAAGGCAGGAAAGCTCCAGGGCCCCCCTAGTGCCCAGATCAGCCAGTGGCAGAAGGCACGTGCAACTGCACCACCACTCCCATTGGATCCACCCCTGAATATAGCCCTCAGTTCATCTGACCACCTTCATCTCATTATATGGTTTTTAAATACCTGACAACATGGTCTTTAAATATCTGCTGGCTTACAATTTTTGTACAGGACATCAGCCTCATTCAAAGCACAGGATGGATGATGCTTGCTGAATAGATACATATTGAATATTTCTTTTTATCTGCATCTTTCAGCATATGGCTCCAGGCCTTTTGTGTTGCACACAATTCATACTCTATCCTGAATACAAAAGAATTCATATCCTCCTGGGTGCTTCTATGATGCTTTCCCCACATAATGAGTGCTTTACAAAAGTTAATGAATTTATCTTCAAAACGTTTCTGTGAGAATAGCTACTGTTATTCTCATTTCATAGCTGGGAAAACTGACACTTGCTGAGATCAAGTCAAAACTGTAAAGTATTTGCCAATTTTGGGTACCTAATCTGAGACACTTCCAGCCTGATTTTTCATAGTCAAATGCATTTTTTATATTTTTTCATATGCCCAACTGACTTCTATTACAATGATGGCTACTTAACACTTCAGCAGCTCAGACCCCAAGCACCTCAAGTCTGGGAAATTGTAAATGAAGAATCCATAATTTGTGGCCCTTATTAAGAGTTTTGTATAAGTGACCTGCCCCACATCAATTAGAAACTCTGGATGATTGTACACGTGATGGGGGTTTAGTCCCAATTGAAATGGTGGGTTTTTAATTGTGATGATTAAAAACCCACCATTTCAATTTAGGGGCATCCGTCACTGTTGG